TTAAAATAAAAAAGTTATATTTTTGGCAAATATAAAACCCTTTTCACACCAAAAGTGAAATGAATAAGCATCAGGTTGAAGGGAAATTATTGCAGGTTTGCGTCATATTCTGTGTTGCATTATTTTTATTCATTTTGAGGAACACTGAATCTGTGTTTTTTTGTTTGTTAGTGAGATGAATTAATGCATATTCATATTTATTTTAGAACTACAGTAACATCTTCTGATTTCTCTCAACATGGGGACAGGAGAGCTGTCAATCAATAAATTGGGAAAAAATGTAACTTGCGTTACTTATTTGAAAAAGTAACTCAGATATTCTCTTGTAAATTAAAAAGTAATGCGTTACTTTACTAGTTACTTGAAAAAAGTAATCTGATTACATAACTCGCATTACTTGTAATGCGTTACCCCCAACACTGCTCACAACAAAAATAGCAACAATGAGGGAAGAGAAAAAACAACAAGGAGCACGAATCAATAGAAGTACGAAAACACATCAAATAAAAATACACTAAAATAATAAATATTTCGAGATAGAAAGGCAAAGAGTTTCAGACTTTCTATTTAGTTTTTTTAAGTACTTAAAGCTCTGAAACATTTTCCCAAACTCACAAAGAAATGTATTAAAGGAGGGCTTACATTTTTTTCAGTTTGCGTGTATGAATATGATATTTAACAATGAAACAAAGTTCACAACATCCAAAAAAGAGAGAGAATTTAAATCACACTTTAAAAAAAGAAGATATCTTGATAAAACAAAACAGCAGCTGAATACAATTCTAATACGTTTTTTTTATTTTATTTCGGAAAAATGAATTGTTCTGTAGGATTTTGTTAAACGACACTTCGGCAAAAAAATTTTATAAAAATAAATAAATAAAACGCGATTACTGGGCTCCCCACATCACAGAGTTATTAAAAATGTATGACATCAGTAAAGTATCTATAAATATCTAAATTTAAAAAGTTAAGCTTGTAGGGTAACACATTTTGTAATTATCAACAACAGCTGGGCTGCGTTCAACGTTGCAAAGCGTTTTTAAAATGGAAACGGTGGTGTGTTAAACACTGTTCTGATGACGCAAGAGTTGCAACTATGGCAGCTGAGAAGGCCATTCTTCGTGTTCTTTTTGAAGAATTTTCTGAGCCTGATGAAATCGGTATAAATACATGTTTAATACTGCCAAATACGCTCGATGTTACAGTCACTGCCCTTGCCATCCAGAATAAAGAGAACATCCCAGTCGAGTGAAGGGATTTGTGGAAACTGTGGTTCCTAATTATTGTGATCAACATTTGCCTCGCATTTCAGGATGAAAAGACAAACATTTCAGGTGAAGGATAATCCACTTCTTACCTCCAAGGCTGTGTTATGATCTATAGCCTTATTATTTTTATTGTGAGTATTAGGGGTGCGGTAAAGTTGGTTTTATGTTGGACATTCGTTAAACATTCGATCTTTTCTTCAGCATTAATTTATATGTAATCGCAAAATAGTCATGAATCATGCTGTATCTCGTTAAGATCACACTTAAAAGCACAATATCAAAATTAATGATAATATTATTCGATGGTGTAATTGTTTTAAGCATCAGAAGTGAAAAAGTCCTCACAACGATCCCCACCGGCACAGACTAAATACTGGCTGTTTCAGGTCTGACGACATCACGCGGGCGTGGTTTAATCGCAAGGTCAAGGAGCATGCGCAGTTTACACGCTCCGTGTGAAGCCCGCGAACGTGTGACAGCGGCACGACCTGCGGAGATCTTGACTTTGTTTAATTTTCGCGCATTTCAAACAAGAATGATTATCACGTCTAACATTAAACAGTGGGGAAAGAAAAAAAAATCTCATGTGGCACATTGATAATTGGGAATATATTTCATATCACTGTTAGTTCCAAACACTGACACTGTTGCTCTCTCTCTCTCTCTCTCTCTCTCTCTCTCTCACACACACACAC